GAAATTTCGATGCTGAGCTCTTTACAGCTCGGCATTCGTGTACCCAGGCATATGAAATAAAGCTATTTTGCTCTACACTGGCCTTGCATTGTAGATGTGATCCCCCACTGGCTCAGACCTTTTAAACACATGTACATTCAGTACAACCATTTGTTAGATACTTGAAAATTTGTGCTGAGGATAGGGCACTAAACAAAAGTGCAAAAGTAGCCGCCCTCAATCATCAAGCTGTTCACTTGCTATTTTGTACTTTTCTGTATGTATGTTATGCTTCGATAACATGCACCCCTCCCTCCAACCTCTACTCTACTTCCAGAGTAGGACATATAATAAATAAAATATTTAGAATGTCAGGTGGTCGTAGTTGTTATGTCAGGGGGAAAGGGAGATGGAATGTGCCATAGAGGAGTGGTCAAGGAAGAGTTCTCTGGTAAGAAAACCTAAAGCAAAGTTTGGAAGACAGTGAGGGAAAGAGGGTTCTAGGAAGAGGGAACAGCAAAAGTAAAGGCTCTGAAGTGGAAACTTGCCGTGTGTGTTTGTTACTGCCGGTAGGCTAGGGCCCAGAGCTGAGTGATCAAGGAAGATGAATGGCAAGTCAGACAGATAATACTGGGTGGTAGGTGGTAGCAGTATTATATAGGGCTTTTACTTTAGCTTTTATCCAGTAAAATTGAGAGCTATCAGGAGTCTTTGAGCAGATGGGTGACATGGTCTTAGATTTTTTGTCTCACTCTGGCTGAACTGCAAATATAAAGGCAAGAATGGAAGCAGGAAAGCCATTATTTGCCAAGTATTTGGGACACAGATGATGATGGTGACTTGAGCTAAATTGGTGGAGGCAACAAGAAACGGTCATCTTCAAATACCCCACAAGCAGATAGGACTTATTAAAACTTGGATGTGGGTTGTGAAAGAAAGGAATCAAGAATGGGTTCCTAGTTTGGGGCCTGAGCAACTGGAAGATAGGGTTGCCTTTTCTCAGATGGGAAGAAGGGGGGAGAAACATGCTTATGATAGCACTGGGAGGAGATCGTGAATTAGTTTATCTTTGGACACGTTAAATTTGAGATGTCTTATAGACATCCAAGTAGAGATGTCACATAGACAGTTGGTTGAGTATGAAATCCTGAGCTGGAGATCCAAATTTTGAAGTTGTCAACAAGTAGATATTTAAAGCCATGAGACAGAATGAGAGCCCCAAATGAGGGTGTATATAGAAAAAGAAGAGGTCCAAAGACTGAGCCCTGTGAGACTTCCCATGTCTAGTACAAGGAAAAATTTTTAAAAAGCCTGGGAGAAGTAGTTGTCAATAAAGTATATGGAAATCTAGGTAAATGTGATAACCTGTAAGCCAAATGAAAAAATGTGTCAAGGGCAAGGAAGTGATCAGTGGTACCAAATAATACTGAAAGGTAAAGTAAAAGGATTGAAAAAAGATCACTGGATTCAGCCATTTGAAGTCCATCAGTGACTTTTGGTAAGAGCAGAAACAAAAACCTGATTGGGCCCTGGCCGGTTTGGCTCAGCAGTTAGAGCCCACAGACCAGAGAGTCCTGGGTTCGGTTCCCACTGAAGGCACGTACCTCGGATGCGGTTTGTCTCCAGCCACGGTTGGGGTCGTGTGGGTGGCAGCTACTCGATGTGTCTCTCTCACATAGATGGTTCTTTCTCTCTCTTCCTCCCTCTCTCCCTCCCGCTCTATCTCAGGATAAATGCAAAAATGTCCTCTGGTGAGGATAAAAAAACAAAACAAAAAAACAAACCTGACTGGAGTGGCTAAAGAGACAATGGAAGTAGATGAATTAAAGATAATGAGTATTAGACACATCTACTGAGGAATATTCCTATTAAATGAAGAAATGGAGTGGCAGGTGAAGGGGGGGTGCTGTATATTTATAAATATATATGAGAAAAATTACATGTTATTATGCTGATGGAAGAGATTAAATAGACAAGAAAAAAAAAAAAGAGAGATGCAGGAAAGAGGACGATTGTGGAAACAATGTCCTAGTTTAAGGACGGTATCCAATATACCACAGAAGTTGGTCTTAGATAACAGTCAACCACAGTAACAGGAATAACTGGTGGACAAGAAGCATGTAGGTGAGTAGTTGTCTTCTGATTGCTTTTATTTTTTCCTGTTAACTAGGAAACAGTCACCAGCTGAGTGACAACTGGGGAGAAGTGCTGGAGGTTGAGAAGAGAGAAGCTATAAAACAATCTTAGGAGACCGGGTCAATGACTGGACTAGGGAATAAATGCTTGAGGTCAGCAGTCAGGAATTTAAAGTGGGACTCATAACTGTGGTTCTGTTTTTCTCCAGCTACATTTAGTTGCATGGGCACAATAGCAGACTGGGCAGAGATAGAATATTTTGTTTTGCCAGATACTCTGGTTCCTTCATTTACATAGTGTTGAATTCATATTTTTACTATTTCAAACATTGCTGCAATGAGCATCCTTGTGCATGTCTTTGTGCTCACATAGGAGAATTTCTAGTCTAGGGTATATATGCTGGGTCATGAGGCATGCTTAGCTTCAACTTTACTGGAAATTGTCAAATTACTCTCAAAATAATTATATCACTTTATCCTCCTACCAGCATAAAAGCTGTTTCCTCCTGCCAGTCTTCTAAATTTTTGCCAGAAATAGTATTTCACTGCTTTCTTTTGCAATATTCTGATTTCAAGATTGAGCATAATTTCATTTATAAGCCAGTCGTCTTTGTCTATCAACAAATCTCCACTCCACTGCTTACATAAGATTATATTAAGTACCTAATATGTCCCTAGCACTGTAACAAGGAGGGGAAATAAAAAGTAGCAAAATTGATGTGGACTCAGCCATCCTGGAACTCATGTAGTCTAGGGTGAGGGGAGAACACCAAATGATCAAATACAAATTGTGGTAACATGAAGGAATTCAGTTCTCTGAAAATTTGAGACTTAGTTGAAGTAGGGCAGTCAGTGACACTTGCATTTTTTTTTTTTTTTACTTGATATTAGAGAGCGAAGGGAGAGGGAGATAGAAACATTGATGAGAGAAAACATTGATTGGTTGCCTCCTGCATGCCCCTCACTGGGAATCAGGCCCACAACCTGGGCATGTGCCCTGACTGAAAATCAAACTGGGGACCTCTTAGTGCATGGGTCGACACAACCATTGACCCACACCAGCCAGGTGGCATTTGTATTTTTAACAGATGAGTAAGAATTAACTAGTTTAACAGCTATAAAGAATTAAGCATGACTATCATCAATATGCCTACAAACTGCAGAAGTGTTCTCTTATCTTCCCGTGTGGGCAGAGGTATGCTGGATGTTCTGGGGGACAGAAGGCCTGCCCTAGGGCTTTCCCCAGGAGTAGAAGGCTGGTTTTCTTTTAGACCCCTTTTGTAATTTTGAGATGGTTTCTGCTGGGCTATCATATCCAGTTTGTTCTTGTGAATCTCATACCATCTGGTTATACTAACCTCTCCATGCTGACCTAGTAATCCCATTTGGGATATTTTATCTCATTCTGGATATGTTAAGAAAAAATTCTGTAGAAAAAAAAGGTGGGAGTGCTTAAAAAGATAAAAGTATTCAATATCATTATTATCACAACAGTAAGGGATTTAAGATTGAGACTGTAGCACCATGGAAAATATGAAAGTTCTTTTTTTATGTGTAATAGATTTTATCTACAGCTCTGGCCAGTGTGGCTTAGTAGTTAGAGTATTGGACCACAAACCAAAATGACATGGGTTCAATGCCGGTCGAGGTCACGTACCTGGTTCCAGGTTCAATCCCTGGCCCCAGTCAGGGAGTGTGTGGAACCAATCAATGTCTCTCCCACACCTGTCTTCCTCTCTCTTTCCCCCCTTCTCTCCCTCCCTTCTACTCTCTCTAAAAATCGATGAAAAAAACATCCTCAGGTAAGGATTAACCAAAAAAAGAAAAAAAAAAAATCTATAGAATGGGCTGATGTACATAATGATACATTCAGGTGTGGGGGCTGTGAGTTTAGGGATTTAATTTACCAAGTCAAGAAAAACATTTCAGGCCCTTCTTCATTCTGTGTCTGCTTGGTCTCTGACGTATCACTATATCCCTCCATCCACTCACCTCCAAAAGACATTGCATTATATGCAGCTCCTTGAACCCAACATGGCCCCAGACACATCAGTTGATGGGTAACAGCATACCTCTGCAGCCAGTCCTGAGTCAGAAGCCTGAATCCACCATGGGCAATACTACATGGGGTGAGTTACCTTACCTCTCTGGCTCCCAACCCCCATTATAAAACAAGGATATAATACATGAATCAGGTTTATTTAATGCAAGAAACAGAAATCTGACAGATTAGCTTACTCAAAAAGGGAATCACTGGACTGATGGTGGGGAGCCCACTGAATCCCAGAAAGGGTTTCAGAAATTGAGCCAGGTCCAAGGACCTCAGGAATTAGAAATGAGAACATCATAGTGTCAGTGGCACCATCTCCTACAAGAGATCTCCCCTCTCTGGTAATGAATTGGGCTCCAGGTAGCTGTAGGCCTTCACCTTTCTGATCTAGCAACCCAAAATTAAAGTTTCCCTATTAACTTAATTTTGAAAAAATCCTGGCAAAGGACTCTGATATTGGCCCAACTAGGTCACATGCTTCCCCCTAAAACTATCATTGAACCCCAGGGACATCCTGATGTGTATTCCTGTGGTCAGTACAGCAGGGATGGTTATACAAAAAGGGAGGGAAAAGCTGGGCAGACAGACAAACGTTATCACAAGATCTAGAATGGGGAGTTAAGAATTAACTGAAATGATGATTATAAGATATTCAGTACAATGACTTTAAAGTAGTAAGCATTCAATAAGTGGTAGCTGTTATGAACTCACCTGGCTGTGATGAGTTTTGCAGTTAATTCCTCCTCCTTGATATGCCACTCTTTAATCTTAGCCAAATTCTGAAAATTGAAATAGACAAACTGACTCCCATTCAACTAAAGAGGCTATTTATTGAAATAATACAATGATGTTACAAAGATGCATTTCATGTGGCCTAGAAAGCTATGTGTTCACAAGTGCATGGTGGATGGATGCTGGGACTCCAGAATCCTCTGCTCAATAGCCACACATATATCCTGGGCTCCCTCCTTGTCAATAAAGATGTGCTGAGATTCAGAGATTGGTTGGATTTAGGCCAGGCTCCACATACAAACCAGTGGTCTCCTAGAACTAAGTCTTTATAAACTTCCGCAACAGTAGGGTAGCACTCAACTGGTTACAATTCATGCCCTTCTTACAAATAGTCCATTATGCGAACCCCAAATCAATCAGCAGCAAAATGAGTTCCTGATAGGTATCTTGGCCAATCAATCAATAGGGGAACGTTTGAGTATAACTACCCAAACTATGTACCAGACAACACAAGCATGGCTTTGGCATTGTGTGTGCATTAAGCATGGAAAATCATAAACAAGACATTTTAAATGGTTAATGTCCTGGAAGGGCAGATCTGCTAGGGAGTATCCCATCTTGCTTCACATGAGATAGACACTGGGCTAGACAGCCCATATTTCAGCCCCCAGGCACAGTTTCCTGTGAAGAATTATGAAGAATGTTTGGGAGCTGCCTCATGTTGTACAGGATGAAACAAGGATGATATATCCTCTGCTACCTGGCATGCAAAAAAGCCAGTAGGAAAGGTTCACCACCAACACCACTCAAAGCACTCCTCCCAATGATTCATCAAGATCGGAAAATTTGCTTATAGAGGGGAGACACTCTTGTATGAATAGGGTTAATGTCCATAGTTGCTTTGACATTTATCTGCACTATTAATGCCAATGAACCAACAAAGGTTCTTGAAATTCCTTTAGGACAGTCTATGAAGTTACATTAGGAGACATGAAGGATTTGTGTGGGCTAATGAAGCTTAGCTCTCAGGCTTTACTGCTGGGAAATCACTGCAGAACTTAAAAAGTTAATTTTCTATGGTGAAGTATTTCCCTGGCACACATGCTAATTTAAAGACTAATGTTATGGCAAGAGGTAACTGGATTTAGACTTCTCTACAGTAAAATTAACCTGGGGAAAAATCCTTGTCCTAGTTTTGTGTTGTTTCCCTACTGACCCAATATAGGAAGCCTGGGGCAGTGCAAAGAGGAAGACTTAATAGTTCCACAATACTGACATGTTAGCTGAAAATATAATTATGATACTTGGAAAATGGAAAAAAACTCACCAGTAGTTCAACCATTTACAGTTTCTGTTAACATTTTGGTGTGTAAGCTTCCCACAAGTTGCTTTAAATAAGTTTGTGACAAATTTGAATGTCTTGCTGCCTTGTATGCTTTTATGAATTCCCAGTGTATCCAACTCATAAGTGCTCATTAAATGTTTGTGCACCTGATTTAAAATTTAAAAGCCCTCTGAAGTCCAAAATACCTTTTCAGTGGCAAGACTTGGGGCCAAAGATCCAGGAGACCAGCATCCTCCACCCAGTTTTGCCATTATAAGCTGTATTACACTGTGCAAACCACTACACGTCTTTGGTTTTCAGTTTATTCATCTGTACAATGAAGTGGTTGGACCAGTTGATCTAATTCTTTGTATAGTGCACTTCTGGAGGTGGAATTGGTTTCCATGGTGAATTTAATGTAAGAATTGCAACTGCATGCAGTTGTCAAGCAATTTAAAAAATGAATTTTGATCATTACTGCAGGAATTTTATCTATTAAAAAGGCTATAAACAGTAACAGTTACTAGTCAAACTGTTGAAGGTTGGTAATCTCCTGCATATATATTAAAAAGCTTTATAATGTCCAATATATAGGCATATCATTCCAACAGTTTATATATTTGTTTGTAGTTGTTTTTATAAAAGTTTGTAACCAGATCCAAGAATGTGGCTTTTATTTATAAAAAAAAAAAATTATTTACTAGCACAGAGTTTTCTCTGTACACAACATAGACATACACATAATTCATTACATTCTCAAACTTTCACTCCAGAAAGAATCCTTTGATACAGAGCAAGAATAATATTTTAGCTAAAGTTTTCTGCACATTCTTTAATTCCAGGGTTCCTAGAGTTTATTTCGCATATGAATTCTCTGGTGTTTAGTCAAAGCTGAACTTCGACTGAAGTTTTTCCCACATTCCTTACAAGCATATGGTTTTTCTCCAGTATGAATTCTCTGATGATCATGCAGATTGGTTTTTTTTCGGAAGGCTCGCCCACATTCATTACATTCATAGGGTTTTTCTCCAGTATGAGTTCTCTCATGCTGAATGAGGGATGAACTCTGACTGAATGCTTTCCCACAGTCAATACATTCATAGGGTTTCTCTCCAGTGTGGGTTCTCTCATGCTGAGTAAGTGATGAGCGTCGACTGAAGGCTTCTCCACATTCATTACATTCATAGGGTTTTTCTCCAGTATGAATTCTGTGATGCTCTATGAAACTTGTACTCCTTTTGAAAGCTTTTCCACATACATTACAATGATAGGGTTTCTCTCCAGGATGAGAAATAGGTTGTTGACTGAAGGTCTGCTGACAACCATAAGGGTTCTCTCCGATATGGATCCTCTGATGGTCAGAAAAGTCTGTAAAGTGACTGAAGTCTTCCCCACAGTCACTACAATGATAGGGTTTCACTTCAGTCAGAGTGCTTTCATCTTGAGTAACAGATGAGCTGTGCTTGAAATCTATGCTGTAGTTATTGCTTTGGTAAGGTTTCCCTCTCTTATGAATCCTCATATGTTTATAAAGAGATGGGCTCTGACCAAAGGCCCTCCCACATATGCTACATTCAAAAGGTTTTTCTCCAGTATGAGTCCGCTCATGCTGGACAAGGGAAGAACATCGACTAAAGGCTTTCCCACATTCCTTACACTGAAAGGGTTTCTCTCCACTATGGGTGACCTCATGTTGAGTGAGGGATGTGCCATGCCTAAAAGACCTTCCACATAAGTTACACCGATAGGGTTTCTCTCCAGTGTGAATTCTCTGGTGTTGAACAAGAGAGGAGCTGCGCTGGAAGGCTTTCCCACAGAGATTACACTGATAGGGTTTCTCTCCAGTATGCGCATTCTCATGCTGACCAAGGGACGAGCTATGCCTGAAGGCCTTCCCACACACGTTACATTCAAAGGGTTTCTCCCCTGTGTGAATTCTCTGATGCTCAGTAAGCTGTGTCTTCCAGAGAAAGGTTTTACCACAGTCAGTACATTCATGGTGTTTCTTTGCAGCATAAATTCCCTGATCTGTACCATTGGGAAAAACTCCCTCTCCTTTATGAGTTTTCTCATGTTTAGTAAGGGATGATCTATGAATAAAAGCTTTTCTACATTTATTACATTTATAAGGTTTCTTTTTTACAAGGATATTATTCTGATTGAGTGAGTCTGAATTATGTCCTAAACTAATTCCAAGTGTATCACATTCACTAGACCTTGAAGGAATGTTCAATTGTGTAACCAGGTCTGTGTTCAATCTAGAGTTTTCACCAAATTTATTATGCTCAAAAGTTTCCTCTGGTGTGATTATTTTCTTCTGGGTGGATAGATCTGGCCCCAGATACCTCTTCCAGTTTTCCTGGTGCCTCTCCAACTGATTGCTCACATCCCAAGCATCTTCTAATATGGCATGTGAGAGATCATCTGTGTGAAGGGATACTTCAGATATGCTCTGCTGCAGATTTGACGATTTAGCTGCAGGCCTGGTCTTCCAGTCTGAAAGAAATCCAAAGTGCAAAAGTCCCTGTTCCCTCCTGTTGAAACAAACTGCTACAGTAGAAATGAGGAAATGAAAGAGATTCAAATTATACATGACCCTGTTTTGAAATTAGCCCTGTAGCTTGGGGGAGAATACCAAAAATAGAGGAAAGGAAGACTGAAGAGATGTGATAGTGCAGACTGTAGATCCAGAGGAAATGGAAGTCCAGAACTAGGAAGCCCACCTAGGAGAGCTTGTTAGGGAGTAAGGAAATAAGTGATTAAGAGAGTGTTAGGCATAGATACAAAAGCAACAGGATCATAGTCTGTCTTACAGGATCCTATCTGCTCTCCATGAATCCTGATCATTTTACAAACCACCAAAGAATCTATCTTCTTAATTCATCTATTTTATAATTTCTTTAAAGTCACCTCTGAGGCTCCAGATCTTCAAACCCTGCAGAGAAAAATCTGCAGCTAGTGATCTAACAGAAATGATTCTTTGATATATTTGGAGATCAAGAGCTAGATGTTACAAGCTGAGAAAAATATTTCAGGAGAAAAATCATCCTTGCCCTTTACAACTTTGAATGTGGTTTTAGTCTATTTGACTTCTGGTTCTACACTAGTTACTGCTCTTAACCAAAAAGGACTTACTTTACTCTGCCTAATAAATTGATCTCTAAAAATCATTAACAAATATTGAGCTCTAAGTTAATAATATACACATGAAAAAAATGTAGGAACGAAATATACTCATTTGCAACTTGGAAATGTGTCAAAAAGATAAACCGATAGACAAATAGATGAAAAGGTATGGGATAAAGCAAATATAATAAAATGTTAAGTACAGAATTTTGGTAGTAGGTATGTGGTGTTCACTGTATAGTTTTTCAACTTCTCATATATTTAAAGATTTTCATAATTAAATGTTAGGAGGGAATAACACAGTAACTAAGAGGCCCTAAGCTCTAAAATTCCTTACCCCGTAACAAGACTCAATTCTCAATTCCTGAGGACAGGCAATGCTTTGCATTTCTCTTAGAACGCTTCTCAGTGGGACATTCAAGAAATGTTTGTTGAAATAAATAATAAAGTTATTTCCCAAGCCAGGTTCCATAACAGTCAATCAAATAATTTCTAACTGCCTTCTACATGCTTTGCACCACAGACAGAATATATAGAAATAAAATACTCGCCCTGGCCGGTTTGGCTCAGCGGTTAGAGCGTTGGCCTGAGGTCTGGAGAGACCCGGGTTCGGTTCCCGCTAAGGGCACGTACCTCGGTTGCAGTTTGTCCCCGGCCCTGGTTGGGTCGTGTGGATGGTGACCACTCGATGTGTCCCTTGCACGTTGATGTTTCTCTCTCTCTCTCTCCCTCCTACTCTATCTGAACAAAATATCAAAAAAAATAAAAATAAAAAAAATAAAATACTCTAGGAACTTGAAATATGAGAACATAAATGAGACTCAATCTTTTGACAACTAAGCCCTGCCCAGTTTTGCTCAATGGTTAGAGCATCAGCCCACGGACCAATGAGTCGTGGGTTAGATTCTGGTCAAGGGCACGTACCTTGGTTGCCATTCGTCCCTGGCCCAGGTCTGGGTCACGTGGCAGGCAACCAGTCAGTGTGTCCCTCTCACAATCGATGTTTCTCTCTCTCTCTCTCTTTCTTCCTTCCTCCCACTCTATAAAATTAACAGAAAAAATATCCTTGGGTAAGGATTTGAAAAGAAACAATTATCAGATGTTTTATTATTAAATCTGGATTTGTGCGGTAGAGGTGATATAAATGGTATTTGTGATCAGGGAAAGAAGAAGTAAATATATTAGTACATATTAGGTTTCATGAATTAGACCTTGAACTTAAAGTAGATGGCTTTGGATGGGCAGAAAGCAGTATCTAATGAGGAAAAGTATATGCTGCTTACAAAGAACATTAAAAAGAAGTTCAACCTAAATAAAGGTTGTTTTAATAGAAATGGAAAGATAATAGTCGAAGGTATGGTGCAGACATTTAAATCAAGGGAGTTTGTTTCCTATGAGGTACAGGGAGCAATGGAAAGGTTTTTTTAGAGGAGGGTCATTTAATACAATAAGGTCCATCGAGTGATGAATAGATAAACAAAATGTGGTCAATACGTACAATGGAATAAATACAAAGGAATGAATACCAATAAAAGAAGTACAACATGCTATATGCTACAACATGAACTCGGAAAACATTATGGTAAGTGAAAGAAGCCAGTCACAAAGAGTTACATATTATATAATTCCATGTATAGAAATACCCATAGAGAGAAAAAGGGGACTAATGGTTGCCAAGAGCTGAGGGGGGAATGAGAAATAGAAAGTGACTGTTAACAGGTCTAGTGTTTCTTTGTGGGGTGTTGAATATGTTTTGTAATTAGATAGTGGTGATGGCTGCACAACTCTGTATATATCCCAAAACCACTGAATTGTACACTTTAAAAGGGTGAATTTTATGTTTTGTGAATTATATCTCAATAAAGCTATGATTTTTAAAATCCAATATGGATTATAAAAAAGATAGAGGAAGCAATTTCAACTGTGAATTATAGTAATCTAAGCCTGGAGCTTGGTTTAAAATGTCACCAAGTGGAAGTTAAAGGCAGGAAAATCTAAGATACTTCTCAAATCAGCAAAATAACCTGGGTTGAAAGTAAAGGACTAAACTGACTATGGTGCCTGGTCTGAGAGATTAGAAATCGTAATAGGTTTCTAATAGGCAAGGAGTGATAGGCAAGGTAGAAAAATGTGCTGGCTAGGGATGAAAATGATTAATTTAGATTTCTATATCTTTTTTTTTAAATCTTTACCCAAGGATATTTTTGTATTTATCTTCAGATAGAGTGAAAGAGAAACATCGAAGTAAGAAAGACACATCGACTGGCTGCCTCCCGCAGGACCCGGGCCAGGGCTGGGGATGAACTGTAACCAAGGTACATGCCCTTTACAGGAATCGAACCCACAATTCATTGGTCTGCAAGCTGACGCTCCAGCCACTAAGCCAAACTGACCAGGACTAGATTTTTATATCTTTAATAAGAACTGAGTGGGACTTCCAAGCAGAGGTGTCTTGTGAAAAGGAATAAGTGACCAGGATACAAGAATGATTTCTGAGTCTACAGCATAAATAAAGAGCTGCAACTACCAGAAGGAAGGTACCCGTTTAGTAATAGAGAAAGAAGGGGGAGGAGGCAAGAGGGCAGACCCCTTAAGGCAGATTTGTTTAGGGGGAAAAGCAAAAAAAGCCAAGAAACACTTAACAAGTTGGGAGATCAGGAGAGGATGATACATACCAGGAACTGCAGAGGGAGGCAATGAATCAAATCAGCATGAACACAGAATGGATGGCAGACCATTTTGCTCCCGCAAAAGGTGTGGTCAGGGAAAGCAGTCTGAACACAAGTTATGAAGAGAGGAAGAATCAAGGCTGTGGCTATTTCCTACAAGTCTGGGGCAGCTGATAGTGAAAGCAGTAAGACACAATGAGAAGGAGACATGAAAGTTCAATTATGTCTGAATGAGTAAGAAAAGGGATCTCTACATAATGATGGGAGACTGAGGACACCAGAGGAGAAAACAATTCAGCAAGTAGGGTTATAGGATACGGAAAGATGGTATACTGAGTATATAACAAAGTGGTATCTTTCCCTCTAAAACCTACCAGCAGCAGGAGCACCCTATTGGAGAAGGAAGATATATAGAGGTGTCATCCAGGAGATGAATCAGCCTCCTCAGCCTGTCTATGAGCTCCCAGGACAGCAATCTGAAAGTGCTTCCTCTTCCCTCAGCTATGCCATTGTCTGCACTGACTCCTACATGCTTGATCTTCACTCATTTACCTGGACAGAAAGATCTTTGGATTTCTCCCTCTGATAGCCATGGCTCTTCTCCTTGCTCCAATTTGAAGATCACTTCTGGTTTGGAAACTTGATATCCTGCTCATGGATAAAAACACAAGATTTGTTTTTTGTGTGCAAGTGGACAAAGAACCCTCCTACAAGTCAGTACTAGTCCTTGATCCTCAGGAACTCTGAAGGAAAAGAAAAGGTGCAACTTGAGGAGTCATGCAATCAAACAGCCTACTTCCAGTTCTGCAAAAGAAAGACCTTTGATCTAAAGAGCAGGCTCAGCCCTGGCCGGTTTGGCTCAGCGGTTAGAGCATCAACCTGCGGTCCGGAGAGACCCGGGTTCGGTTCCCGCTAAGGGCATGTACCTCGGTTGCAGTTTGTCCCCGGCCCTGGTTGGGTTGTTTGGGTGGCAACCACTCGATGTGTTGCTTTCACGTCGATGTTTCTCTCTCTCTCTCTTCCTCCCACTCTATCTGAACAAAATATCGAAAAAAAAAAAAAAAATGTCCTCGGGTGAGGATTAAAAAAATAAATAAATAAAATAAAATAAAGAGCAGGCTCAGAAACCCATAGGCTGAGTCTCAAAAAGATGAACAAGTTCTGACCCTGAACACCCACACCCTGCTCACAGTCACCTAAGCTACAGTCACAGAGTCCCACAACCTTAGCAACTGAGAAAGGAAAGTCCAACCAATGGGCAAGACATTGAGATGTGGCCCTTACCAAGAGAAACCAGGTTGCTGTAGTTCTCCAGCATCACATCCCTGTACAAACGCCTCTGAGCAGGGGCCACGTGGTGCCATTCTTCCTGGGTGAAGTCCACAGCCACATCCTTGAATGTTACTGATTCCTGTAGGATCACATTCCTGCTCAAGTAGGATCAACCCCACAAACATTCCCATGGCAACATACTGTAGGGTTTATTAGAAACAATGATCACACATTTAATGTCCCAAGGGGGCAATGTTGGGTTAAATATACTAGTTGTTTACATAATTATATAAAGAATCTAATATTCAGGCCAGAAAGTCATGAGGAGCAATATGTGCTGCCACCCTTAGCTTTTGCCTTATTTCCCTTCAAAGCCAAGACTTTTTATACAATCACCAATTCCTCCCTGCCCATGCACTTCCTTTGTTACAAAATACAAATGTGGTGGGAAGTAAAAAGTGGAAGTGGGCGCCCTCCTTCACCCCCATTATCAATCTTAATTTAAACCCTAGAAATAACCACAGTTAACAGTTTGGTGCGTACACTTAAGAGTCTACTTTCCATGTTTCTTACACACACACACACACACACACACACACAGTGTCTTGTTTTGTGAAATATTATAAATATTATTCCACAACTTATTTTTACATTTAACTGTGTACCTTGGAGATCTTCCCATAGCAGTACATATAATTTCACTTGATTCTTTTGAAGTACTTCATAGCACTCCACAGTATCATAATATTCCCATTACCTAAAACCAACAGCACCCATTGTACTAAGAATAAGATTCAAACTCCCCATCACTTACTGGGCTCTAGTTATGCTGACCCTGTTGATCCCCGAACACATCAAGCTTGTTCCCACTCTGAGCCTTTATGCTTGTTACTTTCTCCCTCCCAGGATCTCCACATGGTTGACAACTACTTACTATTGGTTATTTAGGTCTTATCTCCAGCATCACTTCCTCAGAAAAGCTGTCTTAGCACCTTCCTCTAATTCACTTTCTATCATATTACCATGTTTAATTTTCCCCCAACACAGTTCTCCCTCTCTGTCCAAATTCCTGCGACCTGAACTCAGGAACCAAATAGATTCAGATAAAAAGGACACTTCTACTTCTAACCATTATCTGAGATTGCTTACTTGTTAGCTTGTCTGTCTCCCCCACTGTGAGCTTCATGAGAACTTTATCTGTCTTCACAACAGTAATATACCTAGATTGATACCTAGTACATATTGGATGCTTACAAATACTGAGAATGCATAAATGGACCAGGTCCTGTTAACAGACATTTGGCTTATTTCTAATATTTTACGATTGCAAATATTACTGCATTAAATATTCTTTGTGCGATTATGCTAGATTTTTGTGCGATTATGTGCAATTTCTCTGGGATAACTAGCTAGAACTAAAATTGCTAGGTCAAAGATCTTTTCACACTTCTTTTCCCATTCCAATCACTTTTTCCTCACCACCCCACTGAAACTAGGGAGACTGAGGTCCTCCATGCCATTCATTCATCAGTTCTGATGCTCATGGGTTGATTTTTGGCTTGCCTTGCCAGTCCTTGTTAAGCCACGAGACACCTGTCACCACGCCCTTCTTGAAATTTCTCCTTTGGTCCTGGTTACTTTCTACCTCAAGAAGGATACAATAAACTATGGTAAAGGCAATTTGTACAAAAAGGCATGGAAAGCAGAGCCATGAGTTCGCTGGAGCAGTGAGGGAGGCTACTTGGAGGTGGTCTGCCTTTATCCATGCCTCTTCTCCCCATGTGCTTGGCTACAGCTGAACTGGTGGACTTCTTTCAGTTTCCTGGAAAGTATCATTCTTCCCACCCTCCCACCAGTCTTTCCCTTGCTAATTCCATTTCATACTTCAGGTGTTGGTTAGCAGATTTTAAGGCTTCTGATCCCCCATTGGAGGGTCAATCCCTGTATTGTGTGCTTTAAGCCACCTGGCACCACCACAATTATTCGAATAGACCTAGTAATCTACTTAATGTTTGTTTTCCTAATTAGATGGTGAGCATTATGAGGGGAGCAACTACACATTTGTTTTTAAATTGTAAAACACTAGTATCCCACAAGTGCCTGACCCACACTACACATCTGTTTCCTGACTGAGTTGAGCCTTAAGGAGATGGTTGAGATTTGAATTTTAGAGAATCAGGAATGGGCCCATCCACTGAGTGAGGTGCATGACTGCATTCATACACACTGGCTTCTCTGTGGCGAAGTTCCCACAGGAACAGGGAAGGCTTGAAATGTGGCAGATTTTTCTGACCAGCATCAGAGATCTGTCTGTGCCAGTTAAGATGACACTAGGTATTTCCTAGGTGTCTAACTTGACCACATGCACTGCGGCAAGAAAAAAAGCCAATGAAAAAACACTGCAGTTCTTGAATATGTTTCAGTTTATTTTAAAATGTGTTATTTATTAGAGCATGATACAAGACAATGTATAATAAAGTGAGATGCTATGAATGTGCAGGGCAGAGAAGACAGACAGAGGCACAGAGCCTTCAAAGTGGGCTATACACTGGGCCTTAAGAGATTAAGTACTGATCACTTTCCTTCTGAACTCTTTAGGAGGGAATCTAGGAGAAGCTTCAGGCTGTGACTAGACTTCCAAGTGACTCACCAAAGAAGCTTACCCCACCCTCGACCCCAGCATCTTCTCAGATGCCCCGTGAAGAAGATTCGGCTGGCACTCAAGCTGTCTCAGAAGTACTAGCCAAGTACATTAGTCATTTCACTCTCAACTCCAATACCCAATTCCCTTCCCTCTACCAGAATGTTCACCTAACGACAGGACAGAGAAAAAAATTTCCAGGGGTGTGGACTGGAGCTGGGTCAAGGCATGCTCTAGAGACGTGGAGTGAGGACACTGACAATTGCTCAGAAAGAAAGGATGTAAAAGATGTTACAGGTTGCCCTGGTCAGTTTAGCTCAGCAGTTAGGGCGTTGGCCCGCAGACCAGAGAGACCTGGGTTTGGTTCCTGCTAAGGGCGCATGCCTTGGTAACAGTTTGTCACCGGCCCCGGTTGGGGTTCTGTGGGTGGTGACCACTTGATGTGTCTCTCTCATGTAGATGTTTCTCTCTCTTCCTCCCTCTCTCCCTCCCACTCTATCTGAAGATAAATGCAAAGAAAAAAAAGATGTTACAGGTTATTAGATAATGCACCCTTTCTCTGCTCCAAAAAGACCCACGGGAGAGGAAACCAGAGATTGAATCAAGAGTCAGAAGATTTAGATATAGCTGTCATTACTGCCTATATCATGGAGATCCTTCTGATAATATCAGCATGAAGAATGATTATAACATGGAGTCGATTTAGCTATGAACCTTATTCTTGTACTTTTTTCTCCTTGCTAGTAATTTTAAGGTCATTATGCAGCAGCTTAGGTAAGCTACTTTGTGCTAGGATAGGCTGTCAACCAATATTTTGATAACCTGTAACAAAAGTTCTGTGATGTCTTTTTCTTGAATCTTTATATTGTCTACCTAGATGCCAGTAACTTATAAAAAAATCAATTTAGTTTGCATTTAAAGGACTTCAATATAATGACCTTATTGCAGGGCAACAACTAGCCTCTGCTATTCTACTCTTGGTCCCACAAATTCTTTTCCTCATGCACTATCGGAGTCATGTCTCTAAAACACAAATTTGATCATGTTTACAAACTTTTCATTTCTTCCCACTTTTCCCTATTCCTACCACCCTTACCCTACTCCATGCCACCATCATCTACTACCTGGACCATTGCTACAACCTCCTAACTTGCCTCTCTCCTCTTCCACTCATGTCTTCCTCCCAAGTCTGTTTTCCATATGACAACTAGAGCAATCTTGTTAAAACATGCATATCAAGTCACTTCTTTGCTTTAAAGCCTCTAATAGCATCCCTATAAAAAGCCAAATCTTTACAGTGTCTACATAGGCCTTCACAATCTGGCCCCCTACTATCTCCCTGACTTCATCTTGAACCTCATCCCTGACCTACTGCTCTCTCCCCTTCCTTCACTCACCCTGCTCTCCTTACAGTTCCCAGAACTCACTACACATGCTCCTGCTTTGGAGTATTTGCTCTCACTGTTCTTTGACTTGGAAGCCTCTTCCAGCAGATATGCTTGTGGCCCCCACTCACTTCTTTCAGTTCTTTGTTCAAATTTCATCTCATCAGAGAAGCCTTCTCTGACTTCCTTACATAAAACAGTGCCCCCGACAGTGCACTGTCACTCTCTTATTTTCCTTTTTCACAGCCCTTACCACAACACATCATATATTTATTTGTTTGTAGTCTGTATTCCAAAGCAGAATGTAAACTCCAGGAGAGCAGGAATATTATCTATTTTCTCTCTGTTTTTCTATTATTTTATTTTTGTTACAGATGTTTCTCCTTTTTTTCCCCATTGACACCCTCTTTCCCACCCCCCACCCCATCACCGGCTTTGTTGTCCATGTCCATTGGTTACGCGTACATGCATATAAGTTCTGTGGTTTATCTCTTCCCTCCCCCCACCACACCCTCTTCTGAGGGTTGTCAGTCTGTACCCTACTTCCACGTCTCTGGGTCTACCCTTTTCCTCAGACTGGTATGTTCCTTATATTCCACAAATAAGTGAGATCATGTGGTATTTGTCTTTTTCTGCTTGGCTTGTTTCGTTTAGGATAATACTTTCCAGGTCCCTCCATGTCGTCTCAAAGGATAAGAGATCTTTCTTTCTTACAGCTGCATAGTACTCCATTGTGTATATGTACCACAGCTTTTTTATCCATTTGTGTACTGATGGACACTTGGGCTGTTTCCAGATCTTAGCTATTGTAAATAGTGTTGCTATGAACATGGGGGTACATATATTCTTTCTGATTGGTGCTTCAGACTTCCTAGGGTACATTCCTGGAAGTGGGATCACTGGGTCAAATGGCAATTCAATTTTTAATTTTTTGAGGTAACACCATAGTGTTTTTCATAGTGGCTGCACCACTCTGCATTCCCACCAGCAGTGTACTAGAGTCCACTTTTCTCCACACCCTCGCCAACACTTGTTGTTTGTTATTTATTTTCTTTCTTTCTTTTTTTTTTATCCTCACCCAAGGATATTGTTCAGATAGAGTGGGAGGGAGAG